AGGAGAACATTAAAGAGCTATTTTGATGCTTATTTTGTAAACATATTTACTCTGGATAATGCATGAAAACATTACAACAACCTACTATTATATTACAAAAATACCTCAACGGTTTTTTTCACTCTATCGTGACGTTTTTTTCAGCATGCAAAGAAAATTTTTTTTACTGACAAAAAGCTTCACAAGATAATAAAAAAAGTTCTGTAAGGTATTTTCGTGATGTAATAGTGCATTGTTCACGTTTCCGATGTAACGTTGACACATGTTTTCAAAAAAGTTTGATATTCTTCGAAAATGATGATTCTGAAAAATTCCTTATATTTTCTATTCTATGACTTAGAAATTGCTTGTGCAGTACGGCCTAAAATAACAGTTGATTACCTAACGAATAACGAAAGATTTGTACACTAGCAAGGAACATAACTATATGCTTTATTGATGAATTATAAGTATGATATATGGTTAATGTACATCAAATCGAAATCGAATATTTGAAAATATATATGTTCAATGAAAAGTTTTTTTCCGTATCTGATAGAGAACTTGATGAATTTCAAAGCCAAACAATCCAATTATTATCTTGACGAAAAGCCAAAAATGGTTTCGATCTCCATTTTAATATTGTTTTTTCAATAATCCAGGATTTGATTTCGGGTTGTATATTATTATTTTCATTGATCCAGTTTGTTTTAAGTAGCATGAGATGAGGAAGATGTTGATGATCAAGTAATACATCGAGACTATCAAAATAGTCTTTGCTCATTTCAAATTGAATTTTTAGTGAACAAAGATTGGGAAAATATCGAACAAGAACCATTATGGTTTGCAATGAAGATATTTGAATATTGTCGAGAATTAAATGAAGTATATTTGTATAAATAGACGAATGCGTAGCAGATCTAGGCATTTCAATTAATGTCAATGTATGAATGTGTGATCCAATCATTGAAACAACTTCAATATTTCTAATTGTAAGATGACGAAGTCGAGGAAAATTACTAGAACTAAACTCACATTTACATAAAACTGTGAGTGTATTGATTTTCGGGAAGCGTTGAGATAAATTTGAACATGATTTATCAACTGTAAGATCAAGAACATTGGGACAAATACTCATTGTATCCTCATTGGCCAACATTGATGTTTTCAATTCTTTGAATGACCAAGGTACTGTATACAAATGACTGTAAAAATCGTTGGACGTCATTCCACATGCAATTTGCCATCGTTGATTAAATCCAACAAAAGTCTAGATTTAAAAGAAAAAAAACAAGTAATAATTAGTAGCGATATTCATAAAACAGAGATTAAACTGACCGTCATATCAATATGACATTCCGTTCGAATATAACAATAGAAATGTTGAAGACGAGGCATGAACTGATCAATAATCATTTCAATTTGATGACCCTGCACAAATATATAATCAGGATGGGTCCAATTTTTTATATCGATTATCAATGTATCGATTTGACTAAGAAATTTGACAATGTTGAACAAATATTCAGATCTCATTTCTACTTCTTGTTTCGTAGTCAATAGAAATTTTGTTAAATGAACCATTGGAAAAATATTCGATTTGAATGGTAATAATAATCGACGACTGGCATGACCAGTGCACAAAGTGACATCAAGTTCAATCAAATTAGCTACAAGACCATCAAGTAGAACGAAAAGATCGTCGATGGTTCGTAATGAAATAGTTAATCGTTTGAGAAGCAAATTTGAATGTAATTGTTTATCAAGAATCATCCCATCGTTTACCATCAATTTAATTTCAGTAAGTTTAGTGAATTTCATATCAAAAACTATCTCACGAAGTACTTCATGTGTTAAATGGGTCATTGGATAAATGTTTTTCGACATACTTTCAACTAGACAAAATGATTGTAAAGAAGAAAATAGGTTAACATACCAGTTGATCATTCCCATTTCGCACTGATTACAATCGATCAATGATAGTTGATGAACATGTGTATAATAAGAAGATTTCATTGTTGTTAATTTTGGTGAAAAGAAAGTTCTAATTTGATTTGGAATCATTTTATTGCTAACTATTAGTGATGATGGTAAAATTCGTCGAATGAGAAATTCAGTAAAAACATATTGCATATCCGTATAAGAATACTTTGTTAAATTGATTCGTGTATAATAATCAGAAATACACATCGAATAACGGTAGCCTAATTTAAGAAAAGCATTCAACACATCGGTTGGTTTTAGATAGCGACAAATGATGAGTAAAAGTTCATTAGGTAAATCGTCAAAACGAGTTATCTGTCTATGATTTAATTGTTCAGAAACTATCGTTTGTTGCTCTATAAAGGACAAAATATATATGTGATGATTAAATATTTTCGAATGTACTTACTTTTGAAACATGGCTTAGTATCTTCGGGAACGATCATGATTGAATGGCGTTTGTTATCAAACAATCAACAACATGCGCAAATAGATACAAAGTATATATATCAGAAATTCTGCATATATCCGTATATATATATAATACTTGTGACGATCGTATCGGACGGTTATGATTTTCTCTAACACTCTCACTAGTTAGGATATTCTTCTCAGGCAGCGTTAGCAAAGAAAAGTCAATTATATGTTTGATGATCAATGCATTTATACGCTACTGACTAATTCAAATAAATAAATAAATAAATATCTATTGTCTCTATTTGATAGGCATGTTGTCAAAAAGTTTCATTGGTTTTTATCATAATTCATTTTTGAATACATTTTAAGTCCAAATAATTCTAGTTGATGAGATAGAAAAAAGTCTTTAAGCAATATGCATGAATTCGCTGAAGTTAATTGTTTTCAACGACACACGATTGAATTAGATCCATCCTGCAAGTTGATCAATGGCTGTTTAAAGTTTGAACCATAATGAAACTAAATGTGCATGATCGAAGATTGAGAAAATGATGTCAATTGAATAGAGATGCAACAATATTTCGTCGAACAATAATTCCATCGTCAACTTTCAGTGAAACAACTTGATGAGAATGAGAATTCAAGTAACTGGATAGAAAATCAACTTGATGACGATAATGATTACAAGAAATATATACATGAATATTAACTGAGTTTAGAATTGATGAAATACATGAATTGAGGAAAGCGAATGCAAATAAGAATTCAACGGCATGTAAATAGTCGAATATCTCGAAAAATATCTCGTCTGACAAATCTTCCAGTCGAGTAGACGTGAATGCAGGTACGCTACCAAATATGAACCACACCCACACCCACACCCACATCCCAAAATGCAATTGTCCCGCATTTTTTAAGAATTATATATGCAAACATGTTGTTGGTATGGCTATTAGTTTGAAATATTGCAAACCACCAGCAGTAGCAAAAACCGTGCCGATCGGTGAGAAAAGAAAACGAGGAAGGCCAGCAAAGGCTAAACCTGCTTTGCTAGTACAATAGTTCAATTTTCATTTTTTTCCATTCATTCTTTGAATTTCTATTTCTATTTAATGTTCTTTTGGATTTCTTCTTATTTCTTCTGTGTTTTTTTTATTTATTTAAATTTATTTTTCTTATACTAAATTAATCTTTATATGAATAACACTTATTTCTTCTGCTGATAAAATCTGCATTTTTACTGATAAATTTGAATTTTTTACTGACACTTATATATAAAAAGCTGACCATTTTATAATTAATTACCGATCATTTTAGTACTGACCGTTTGTATATTTTTTTGCTAACCATTTCATTAATTTTACTAATCAAAAATTATGTTCCCTTTAGAATTGATATTTATGCAACAGACGTTTTAAATTTTTCACTAAGAATTTTAAGTTTCGTGTTAGAACTCGTTTAGTTGGGGATTAAAATGCATACATATATGTATACTAATGCTATATTAAGAGAAAATTTCAAACATATATTAAGGTTCCACATATGATCGAAAGACGTCTAAAGGAAAGAAAAAACCTTTTTTGACCAAAATATATAATCATGTATAAACGTTATATATTAAAAAACTTTTTTGAGTTATTTTCGTCAAAAGTATAAGAAGAATCTGTCGTTTATTTGTAAGATGTGTACATACTGATATAATTCTTTTTCTAACTGAAGGATCTTTTTGCAATAACGATGCAATAAATGTCATCGGAATGTCTAATGATGTGAAACGAAAATAGTTACATTCGTTTGCTACCTCTTTTTAATTTGTCATTAAATCTGTTATTCTCGATATACATCAATTAAATCCTGACAGACAACACCGATCGAACTAATGCTTGACTAAAATATGGAGATAGAAGGAAGTAAATCGTTACCATCTTATTCTAGTTAATTGAATGGAATTATTTTTGATGAATATCCATTATATAAATGTAACATTCCATCGACAATTATTTTGTCAAAAAACTTGATGCATTTTCGTCACGTACTGATCTCTTAGGAGAATTGAAGCGCATTCATCGAATTCTTTTTTAGTTTGCAAAAAAGCACATTTCTTACAACTTACACGACAAACAAACCATGTTCCATTGATGACAAACTATAGCTGAACGTTTCATGATACAACTGTTATTTCCATTTTTGTAAGAAATAAAGTTATGTTCCAGATATGATCAAGACAATAAGGCTCTTTTTAGTCTGTTTTTGCCAAAAAAAAACGCTTCATTTTGGTTGACGACTATCAATTATTCTTGTCATTATTCTAAACGCACGATATACGTTGTTAGAGAATATATAACAATCTCTAAAAAAGTTTCCAAAAAGAAAGAAGATGCGTTGATCTGCAATCGAGAAATCTTCTGTTCAACTTTGACCAAACATGGTTCTTTTTAGTTAGACAGACCGTAAACCGAAACAAGGTCAAACTACCTGTACTGGTTCACCAATTTCCGAAACATATGTTATTACATGATGGATTCCTGATGGTTATGGTACATATATTCTACAACAATATATTGAACCAGTACGAAATGGAACGGAAATTGATCTTGGGCCTCCTATACCCGATTGATATGCTGCTGTTCGTATTAATCTAAATGATTGTGGTGGTTCTGAACAATATATTTAGCTTGTTTCTGTTGGATGCTAAAGTGATCAACTTAATCAAGATGATACTGAATAATATTTACCTTTCATTATTTGTATTACTTTATTGATAATAAACTAAATGATGTTAAAAAGACGAAAATAAAAAAAAAATCTTTTGTTTCTTGTCGATATAATTGATACTTAATGGGTCGTTGATCTTCCTTTAGTTGGAATACGATTGAAATGACTCTCATCTCTCTTTCTCTATCTTATTATTTGATATACTAAAAAAAAGAAACGAAGAATAGAAGAGAAATTAAATTAAAATCATCTTTTATAGTTTATGATATAATAAAGCATGTTTTTAAATGATTTTTTCACATCCGAAGAAATATTAAAATCGCAGAAATTCTTTTCAGTTCATAACTTATGTTTGAGGTTATCGATAGTTGATTCTCTGAAATATCTGTGAACTCAATCTACCACTTGTAATCTACACATGTAGAGAGCTTATCTAATATTTGGGATTTCGAATATCAATTCTGGAAAGTGAAATCGAGTCTACAATAATCAACAACATAAAACAGGATGAATTATGTAATAGATTAGTCTACAATCATTCTTTTCGACGTTGTCATAAATATTCTTCTGACCATACAATAAAAAGACAGATGTTATCAAATTGTAAGAATGATTTCGAAGGATTATTATTACTCAGTAGATCTGATATCATTAACATTCGATTTGTTTTAAGATAAAACTATAGAACTTTCTCTGCGGATCATCTTCTATCGTGATTATCTCCCATTTTGGCCACCAAACAAAGCGGCGGTGCTCTCTGCTTTCTACTAATACGTAGATGAATGTAACATAGACTAGTCTTTGAATGATAAGATTTGCTTTTTTCGTCAATTTGTCTTTTCAGTGAACAAAGTAAAGATATGAGAAGGATGTGTCTTATAGACAGATAATCTTTTATTTTAAATTGAATTATTCTCAAGATAGGCAATTACATTGAAAAGAATGAGTATAATGATTTAAAAGCGAGTGTAGTTCTGATTGTTGACTTTGGTTACACCAAATAATAATTTTCTTGGTGATGTCCACGCATGAAAACGATAATTGAAAAGAAGCTTTTCATTACCTCGAACTTCAATACGTTCAATAAATCAATCATCACTAAAAAAAGGAATAACTTTTCCACTTCTTGTTAACTTAGCCACAGCTAACATGCTCAATTCATCATCATCATCATTGAAAAAACCTTTTGAACAACAAATTGTATATTCATCGACACTATTTCGTTCACGATCATTACCAATATTATCCAGATCATAGACTTGACAAATAACAACATTACCACTACGAAGAATAAGACTAACATGAGAATTCGTCCCAGCAAATAATTCATCACCTGTCTCTATCTTCACTTGTAATGCATCACTATTCTCTTGGCAAACATTCGTAGATTTTGTATTGCATATTACTTCAACGATCATCATGGAAATTATACTCCATCGAAGCACTTTCACTATAAGAAGATCCATAGCTTATCTTACAGATTTTGTATATACCGTGTATATATAAAAGATGGGAAACATATCATCTATATGTCAAAATAGATGTGGCATCAAAAAACTGATATATGATGTCTTCAACTTCGCACAGTAATTCCACTATCTAATGAAATAAGAGTGCCGAAAGATGTCAAGAACTATGAAAAAAATGCGATGAGATCGATGGAACTTGTCATGAGCTTTGTTTATTTATTCTTGTCATAATAATAATTGAATCGTTGTAACATTCTATCAATGGCGTCTCTATGTCAATTTCTTTTTTTGTAACCAGAAATAAAATAAAATTTCGATAAAAACAATAATAAATGAAATAAGTGTTGTATTGAAAGATGAAAGGTTTTTCTTCTTCACTTAACTTATCCCGTCGTTTTTAAACTAGTGCAGTACAAGCATTCTTTATTTCATTCCATATAAATTGAAAGAGAGACTATTAATACTTTCTTCAATTAACACTCTAAACATTTCATTGTTGCATTTAAACCGGGTGTGGGTGTGGGTGTGGATAGATATAAGAGCTAAACCCATATCTACCCACACCCTCAGCCACCCACTCACACCCACACCCACACCCACACCCACACCCACACCTGCACCCACACCCACACCTGCACCCACACCCACACCCACATCCTGATTTCAATGCAAGAACCAAGGATTTCCACAGAACCTACGATTTTCTGGATGTTGACCAGTGTGAGGCAATCTCAGAAACATCTAAATACGAAGTTTCTTAATGATTTTGAGTTATTTTTAATGAATAGAATATATCTAAATTTGTCAAGGTTTTGGAATCCTTGCATAGAAACGGCGTGGGGTCATACTGGGTTTGGTCAGATACATATATTTTGTTTATAATTAGAGTACATTTTATTATAATTTTCGAAAAGAATTTCAAGAATTACGGCGTCACTTCTTTCTGTAGGATGACTGTAATGTTGACAATATAAAAGAATTTTTTTTTGATTTCGGAATCCTTTACTTATTGGATTCGATATTGAATTTTTGTACTCGATCATTTCCCAAATCGACGACATAGAGATTGCCGTCTCGATCGAATGACAAACCGATGGGCCAATTGAGTTGGTTCGATTGTCCTCCTTTACCGTTTCCACCAACAATGACACTTCCCTGTGTGGCTCCTTGGGGCCAACGCATGATTCGATCATTCCCCCAATCAGCCACATAGACAGTGCCCGATGGATCGACAACGACTCCTTGAGGAGATGACAATTGTGTAAGACCATCTCCTTTTCCTTGACCACCAGCCACAACAATGCCTTGTTTTGCACCTTCCATCCATTTCATCACACGATCATTTCCATAATCAGACACATATACTGAATGATCCTGATCGACAAATACGTATCGTGGGGAAGAGAGTTGATCGAGATGATTTTCTCCTCCATTGCCACCTGCAACCACTATTCCTTGAGATTCTCCTCTTCGGTATCGTCTCACTTCATCTTTTCCAGTGTCAACGACATAGAGAGATCCATTCTCATCCATTGTCAAACCCAAACAATTGATGTTAGAGATGATTGTTTCTCCACTTGTTCCATTTCGACGAGACCATCGAACCACCCTTCTATTCGCATAATCGGAGATGATGAGACTATCACTCTCTTTGTCGACAATCATATCTAATGGGCTAGATAACTGATGATCCCCATTTCCTTGTCCATTTCCACCTGCAACCACTTGGCCACTCGTTGCACCCCATTTCCATTCCACAATACGGTGATTCGCCGTATCAGCAACATAGATTGTTTGATCATCATCAACATACAAATCCCAAGGGCTTGAGAGTTGATTGGTTCCATTGTCTTCTCGATTTCCTCCAGCTACAGTGATACCATTTTGTTGCCATCGAGCATTTGGATGAATGTCAATGGAACTTCCACCTAATGGATAGACTGAAATAGAGAGAAAGGAGAGAATAAAATGATAAAATAAGAGAGAGGGAGAGAATAGAGAGAGAAAAAAGTGAAAAGTTCATTTGAATTTTTGCCAAATCAACATTGTTCTCAATTTTAGCTCATTTCCAATTTTTCCTTTTGATAATGGAAGTGGCGCTATCAAAAAATTATTTATTTATTTTTTCTTTTCTTTTTGGTTTTCTTTATTACTTAATTTATTATAAAATAACTATTGATGGATGTTTCTTTTTTTGTCTGGTACTACATAGATTATATCAATTTACTGATACATGGTTGAAAAAACAAAACGTTTTGTTTTTTCTCAACCATCTTTGATTTTATATTTGAATTAGTGGCCTTTAGAAAAGATTTTTCGTAGAGTTGAAATATCTTCAGAGACTATATGAATCTATTGAAACGTAAGTCATCCTAATTGATGAATCATTAATATACAAATAAATAAAGTTCTTTTTTTGCTTGGAAAGAAAAATACAGAGATCACGGTAGTCATTCTGTTACAAATAATGAATTTTTTTTTAGTCTTATGAAAGATATAATTTATGAGTATGCATATATATAGAAAACATTGGAATCTCACATTCTTTTATCGACTAATAGACTGAGTGTGAGAGAGAGAGTCATGAATAATAGAAAAAAACTAATTAAAAAGAATTAATGAAAAGGAAAAATATCTTCATTATATTCATATTGCTTTTAATAGAATCACCTTTTCTTTATATATATGATTGGATATTAATAACTTCATTAGAGAACATTCAATTATTTACTATACTGCTTTGTTTTTTTTAAAGTTCAAACGAACTCGGAATTTTCCCGATAGATTAAGAAAAAACAGAATAAAAGAATTCCTATTTCTACATGTATGTTACAAAAAGAAAAAGAAGAAGAAGAATATCAGAAGTTGAAACTATTTCACATTATTTTTCTTAGGAATTTTTTCTCTCTCTATATGTTCGTTCAATGTATGTTAAAGAAAAAATTCTAGACAAAAAAAAGAAATTTCTTCAGACTACACAACTGAAATTTCTCCATTGTTTTTTTATTTTCTTTGGGTTTTTCATATTTATCTGGAAAATCACATGCTCATTAGAATTTATTTTGTTTTTGTCATTATGTAGTTCTTCTAGAGTCGATTGTTATAATACGTTTATTTTTTACATGTTTTTAGATGTAGAAAAAGCAAAAATAATATGGCTTGTCCGGCTAACGGCCAACCAGCATGATTAAAGTGGAATCTGATAATATTCTATTAAAGGGTACACTTTACTGTGTTAGGAAACATAATTTATTTTATCTTTTCTTCTAGTGAGTGGAAAAATTATATACAAAACAGGTTTGATATGATTGTTTGAAAATTTTCGTTCGTTTCCGTAGGTTTGAAGGGAACGATAAAGGTAGACTTTTTTTCTGTTTTTCTTTTCTATCAAGAAAAAAAAATGGTACATAAGGTACTGATGCAGCCGTCATTTTAGCATATAATGCTTTTTTGACCTTATAATTAATATTACTTTGTTATTAGCCATTATACCTCTTTCTCATTAGATTTGATAGCGATTGAATGACCTTTTCAGTCACACAAAAGTAAAAACCTTAAGATAAATATTGTCTATAATTGTATTTATGCGAGGAAGAACTTCCAAAATTCAGTGAAGAATATGGTGGATACTAGAAGATAGGATATGAAATTTAGAGTAACTACTGGATCAAATATCGTCACTTTTGGACAGACGCTCTTTTACATCAGTATTCCATGTTTCTCATTTTAAACATAATCAGTAACTTTTAGGATGTCAACAAAAATATGTTACGCACTAATAGTAAAACTATCCAAAAGTGCCTAAATATTAATGGATTGTATTTGAATAGTTAGGCTGAAGACAGTGACGCGCGCTTTGAAAAGAAAGAAAGAAACATTTGTTCCAAAGATATAAGGATTAACTAGATATTTAAGGATGAGAATTCGCAAACAAATGAGTGCATTCCATCAATATTCCGACTATGTTATGCAAACAACATTATTGTAAAAAAGAATTGCTGGCATAAATAGACCCTATCTATCGATGTAATATTGTTCTTAACTATAAATCTTTTTTGTTTTCGGATTCACCGAAACTTTGGCAATCTGATACTACCAGAGAAGAAAGTTCTTTGTATCGATACAGTACTAATATGTAATTTCTCTTCTTGGACAACTAGTATAAAATCAATGGATGCGAAATCTATTCAAATTAAGTCTCATCCCAGGGTTAATAGATGGTCTAAATTTTTCAGGTTCCTGTTAATTTCTGTGAGAAATTCGATTCAAAGTTAAAAGTAAAAAGTTCATTGTTATCCTTGAACAAAAAAGAGAATGACATGTGGAGTTGCGCTTTATACTTTACAAATACATTATAGAATTCTGAAAAACTACATGGAAGATGTTCGTTTTTTAACTGCTCCTTCTGTTAAACTCTGAGAGACACAGTGATCTGTCTTTATATTTCAACATGAAGACATTTGAAATTTTGAAAATGAAAGAATAATAAGCTTTCTATACTCTAACAAGTAGAAAAGAAAGCACTAAGTCCTCGAGAGTATATGGTCAGAACACGAAAAGTGAGTGTATTACCGCAATATTTATAGTATAACTTTTCAGTAACACTACAAGTTTCGAAACTATTTTTTCGCATTAAGAGGTCTAACTATCCTCTATAAATTACAGTTAAGCCGATGTATTTAAAATTCAAGAATTCACAGAAATTTTGAAAATTTCCATATCACCCAAACGACGGAGGGCCTTTTTTGTGAGTGCGTTACTGGAATGTATTTTTAGTATAAAAAGTAAACCACAAAATCAATTTGCATGAAACTCACAGATCTTGAAGTATTTTATTATATATGCATGTACTGCAAATTTGAAGACTCTACACTTTGTTGTTACTAAGGAAATTGGGTCGAAAGTTGACAAAACGTGAGTGCATTACCTGCGGACAAGCCGAATATCATGACAAAGAGTTCAAGACACAAAAAAACACAGTATTATCCTGAATATTTTTAGTCATAAGTTATTATCCTTTTCAGAAACCTAAAATATTCGTTAAGAGAAATCTACGCTTAGCTCACATTTTGGACTTGACAATGTTCGTTTTTCGGAGCTGCAATTTTCAGCGGTAACTAATCCTAATGCAGAAACATGCTGTTCTTTTTATTGATCATAAAAAAATTCAGTTCCATAAATTGAAATAGACTAAAGTTTGAAGTTATTGATAGATGATTTATACCTTACACTGAGAATTTCTTAAGACTATGTCATTATAAAAGCTATAGAATTTGGGGTTGTTTCTAATTCAAAAGTCAACATTATAGTGAACAAATTTTTCGACACAAAAAAGTAAAATTTTGATAATTAATGTCATTTATTTTCTATTTTATCATTTTTTTATTGGACTTACGCTTTAAAATTAGACCAACAAGAAAAGATCTTATCCTTTCAAGATTTAATCCTACTTTTCTCAGTCTGAAAAATTAAAATATAAAAATATATGATCTTACAAAAAATTTACTCATACTTGAAGTTTTAAAAATAATAAAAACAAAAGGATGTGTTTTTTATATCTTGAATCATTTGAGAGAAGTTTTTATATTTTTTTTTTATTTACCTCCAAAATATCTTGTTGTGAGTAAAACACCTTATTCAAGCGTAATATTGTTACTTTTTTGGACACACTTTTTATTAATTATCTTCGAAACTGTGACAGCTAGAATGTTTGTGTGTTACCTACTACTACTATTACATGGCAAGACTCTGAATTTGAAGTACTCTTACTTAAGTTTTAATTTCTTGCGAAAGTTGATCTCACAATGAAATGCTTACCTGGAACAAATTTTTGTAGAGCATCGAACACACTTTTTTAAATTACAAAAAAAGTTGTTTCATCTAGGTATTGTTGTTACTCGTAGAAGACAACTGACAAAGCAAACGTCGTAATACTGTTACACCTTTTTAATTTTCATGAGATTATAAACATCTTCTTTTTTATTGGATCTAGATTCATCGGAATAGACTGGTTTTTTTCTAACTTCTACATAAATATTTCTACTATTCTTATCACTAAAGATCGCCTCAACATCTAGAGGCACTCTTTAGGTCGTCACTATGGCGCTCAAAATTTCTTGTTTTCAGTATAAAATGTATTTCTTCTATAAGTTAAAAACACATTCACACTCGGAATAGTTTCAACTGCTCGATTGCTTTTGAATTTGGATTCTGTTGCATAATATAGACCCCATTGAGACAAGCAAAAACCTCAAAAACGCTAAATGTCTTGTGTCCAAACTTGTAGAAATTTTACTCCAGTTTTAGCTTTTAACATCATGATATAGTATTTCGGATTGAAATTATGTCCACAAATAATTTTATTTAGGAGTAAAATATCATGAAAATTTCCGCTTAAACACAATGTTTTTCTTCCTAAGATAATAAAGTCCACGAAAATCACTCTTATCCCATAAAAGATGCTATAGAAGTTTCGGTTTTTGCAGACTTTAATACCTCATGAGCAGTTGAAAAAGCTTGTTAGCGCAGATCCATTGGGGCTGAAATGTGGAATTTACATATTCTACATAAGCTAGGATACTTAATCGCATTTAACACTGGTTGCTTGGTCTGTAATAGGGAGGGGAGTGCGCCAAAACTTCAACTTAAAACTTACATTCACTATTTTCTTCAAAAATATATGTGAGTTCCACGAAACGCTCCCTCAATATGTATGTACGAGTTACTATGATACTAAGTTAATCATGCCCAGAACTATTGAAAAATAAACAAAACTTAGTGATTTTTAGAGAAATTTGTGGGTAGATAAATAAAGCAAAATGGTCAAAATCATATTTGAATTCAATATTATTCTTATTTGTCTCTTGTCATATTTCAATTATAAGTTTAATTATATAAATTGAAAATAATACTGAAAATTAGGTTTTCAGAACTGGATGTCATTAAATTTTTTAGGAGAAAAAACAAAAGTAGTGCATCGAATTCATCTTGAAAAGTTAGTTATAATTCACTACTTTGTTTACTGATATTCCGTAAATGGCTCACAGAAATTTTAAAATAGGATCTTTTTCTTCATTCTGTTACAATAATTGTGATTAAGTTTTATTTTTGAAGAATATTTCGATGTGAAGGAAACAACAGAAGTTTTATTATTTTTTGCCAAAAAAGAAGAAAGATCATGTTTGATAGTTAACAGATTGTTTGTTTGGTAGTATGGATTCAAAGCTAGACATCGAAGTACACGGTTAGTTTCAAGGTATAAGATAGAAAACAAAAACCTGCAACGAACACTACGGCAGTATATGTATTACAATCGGACTACTTTGTAAAAAAAAAAAAGTAGTCCGATGGCATATATTCGAAAAGAGAAAACTTTGGCGCATCTTCCTATAACAAGAACTCAGTTTTTCACTTTTTTTTTAAATCGAGATTTCCAGGAGGGGGAGGAGCTTAACTGAAAAATAGGACGAAACGAAATCAAAAACGAGTCCAAACTTTATGACATGTAACTATAGAATTCAAATTTATTAATCATATTTAATTTTATCGCTAGTTAACTATTCATTTCTTCCGAATATTTGCTAACGTGAAAAGTAAAACTAAAAAAAAAACAACAAAAAACAATTCTATGATGCTCTAAACAGTGAATAGAAAGATGAAACATTGACATTATCAGTAACATTCGATTGTGCTTCAGATATATCTGCGATATTCGATGAAAACACGAAAACTTTAAAGACTAGCTCGTAGTGGTGTAACCAGAAAAAGTCTAGTGGTTAGACACAGTCCTAACAATATTTATGATTGCCATATAAGATCATACAATATTTTTTTTCCCGGAGAGAAAGAAAACAATAATGTATTTATCTTTACAAATATATTTTTAATTCAGATACAAAAAAAAAGTTTAAAAATCGAATTAAAATAATTAGTGCCATTCAAATCGATTTTTAGTCGGATTTGGGTGTGGGTGTGGATGTACACTGTGAGGGTGTGGGTGTCGATGTGGGTTTTATTCATATACTGGCACCCATACCCATATCCTCTACTAACTCTATTAACTCCTAACTTCAAGCAGGAAAACCCTCATTTGGAGCCATTCGAATGCATCCAAATGAATGGGAATGGACCTGAATAGATTATAATAGCTAAGAATACTCAGAAATACGTAACAACGATTTCATGC